GTAGGGAAATGTAATTATATTATTCATTTGGGGGTGTGAAAATGATTTCTAATAACATTCTGGGTGGATTAGTGCTGTTTTCTAAATTGATGTGTAGGACTCTGCTGGCTTTGTTTAAGAATTGTGGGAAATGCTTGATCTATGCTGAAGGAAGTAGATTTTAAATAGGTGTGAAGTACCTTGCTCAATTGGGACTAACAAGTGCTGGCTTGGGTATGTAATGAAGATTGCAGAGCACTTGTAGCACTGATGAGTAAAAGTCTATCAGCTTTTGTACATTTGCATTAGATTCAGAGAAGACTTTTTCCAGAAGGGAGAAATTGGGGGTCATTGCAGCCTCAACGTTCAAGCATTTTTGGCAGAAGGTCAGCGGAAGAGCCCTCTGCAGTCTTGGTAAGAATGGCTTCTCAGGGCTGCTGCCAGCTTCACTCACTAGTTCTTTATTCATTGGTGTCAGCAGCTGTGTGTAAGGGATTTCATACTGAGGAAAGAGTTGCTCCTTTCTAAGCTCAATTTGAGAGTTCATATCAGATACATCTGGGAATGACACCTATGCAGAATGTTGTGAACTTTGGGTAATTGCATCCTGCCTAATTTACAGCAGCAAAAGAGCTGAAGACATGTTGTAGTTGGAAGTTCTCACCTTCAGGTGTTTTCTGGAGAAGTTGCTGGTTCTATGCCTAATCTGCCTACAGAAGATTGTTTTGTTGTGAAATACCTTGAAGTTTGCACTGCTCTGTGAACCAAGACACCCCTTGGTGATGCTGGAGCTGTGCAATGCCTGACCTGGATATGAATTCCCAGGAGTTCCCAGGGAGCCTCTGGAATGTGGAATGGGCAACAGTCTACAGGCTGAGTGGGAAGTGCAGAGGATGCTTTGGGGTGGCTGCTTAACTTTCCCTGCTTGCATGTGAACACTTCAGAGCTGCCTTGCCAGCTCACTGATGGCATATGAAGGAACTGCAGCCATTCAGGGTCAGATCAGAATTAGCTTTTATGCTTTTCTCATGTTTTCTTTTATTTTTTTTCTAATTTTGCATTGATGGTTGATTTCAGTTAAGAATAGCTACAGAGAAAGACTTTTCTATCTGCAATTGTCATCCTAACTTCTCAGCCCTGTTCAGATCCATATTCTGACCAAAGTGTGACAGTCTTGCTGAAGTGTCTTTGGCTCTGCAGATCCAGTTGGACAGACCCACAGATCCAGGCTCTGAGGCTCTTTGTGACATCTCTGCTGCCTGGATTTGTAGATCAAAGGTGCTGTTCACTCCGGAGATCAAAGGTGGTGTTTAACCTCTTGAAGCTCATTACCTGAAGAACCTTCCATTACTATTTCAAATGATTTTAATTGTCAGACTCCATCAGCTCTCAGCAGTCCTGCTAAATCAAATGGACTGGATGAACAGTTACTAAGTCTTAGATGTACAAAGTACATTTGTTTAAATGTGTTAATGACAAAGTGTGTTCTCTGTGATTGAATCTTTGTAGGTTTGCAGAACTCCAGACATTTACTGCATTAAACTTCAGGCCCCTAGAAGATGAGCAGTGTGATGTTATTATTGAAAAGCCAACGTACTTCATGAAATTAGATGCAGGTAATTGGTATCTTTAGCTTAGTTTCTTTTAATCCTGCAGTACAAAAAGAGCCCATATCCAACTTCCCCATCTGCACTAGACCTTTGTGATTGTCAAGTTCACCTGTAATACATTATTTTGGAAAAATGATGTGACGTTTTCCTTCTTCTTTGTTTCTGTATTTCCATTGGTGAACTCAAACTTCAATTAAAAAATGTTATGTTTTCCCACAGGTGATAAAAAAAAATAAAGGAAAAATTCCCTGCCAGTTGTCTTGCACAGTCCCTCTCTTGGCTGTGTTTTGGCAGTCTTTGTGCCACTGACTCTTCTGTAGAGAGTCCTTGATTTTGGCTGCATTGCTGGCTGGTGGGTTACACACCATGAAAGACAAGGAGTGGGTGTATGTGTATTGAGGAAGTGGTGTTCAAAGAGGGGCAGCACTGAAGCATCTTCAGGCAGCAGCCAGTAGTATGTGGCAGTTTTTGAAGCTCACCAGCCTCGTTGTTCATGCAGCATATTTTGCAGGCAGTTGTTAATGGAGGAGGGTGTTCAGGATGTAGACATACAAACAAACTGCTGTGGGGTAACCTATGGTTTAAACTGGGTGGCTCTCTGCTGTGCTCTGACCCTGTGACCCACCACAACTACCCCTCTTCCCCTGTGGGCCAGTAGCTTATGTTCTAAGCAGTCACAGGCCTCTGAGGAGTTAAGATGGAAGAGTTGCTGTGCTGTGAGTTTGTAGTTTTGAGTGGGGTGGTCTGGCTGTGGCTCAGGAGGTGATTTTGTCCAGCTCCTTTGTTTTAGGGGAAGCAGGGGAAGACTGCTGTTTGAGCAGTATGCAGGGGAAGCAGGGGAAGACTGCTGTTTGAGTAGTATGTAGGGGAAGCTTGGTAGCTAGTTCCTGTTGTGGCAGCTCAGCTTAGAAACAGGGGCTGTGTGCATGAGGTTCCAAAACTGGGATCTTGTCCTCACGAGCAAGGAGACGGGACTGTGTTACACCCTTTGTTTCATGGTAGTTTTTTTGTGCACCATGGTCTTATGGTATTGGTTTAAGAAACCAAGAATGAACAGGAATGCTCTGAGGAATTCCTTGGGCTTTGGCTCGTGTGCAAGTACACGTTCTGTCTTGTAGTCCTGCAGACAGAGCTTCTCTTAACCCTAAATGGAGCAGAACTAAGGTCAGTGCCAAAGGCCTGGTTTTGTTTCCCCTGTGTCTGACTGTCTGTTGTTAAAGCAACTGCTTTCATTCACTTCAGAAAGCAGCTGCAGACTGGAATGAGAAATAGCACCTGCAAAGTGTCCTTTTCTTATGCTGTCTTTTGGCTGCACTTCTGATTTCTCTGAACTTTGTAAAAACATGTTTTTCTTCAGGTGTGTTACCTTGGTGCCTTCCCTTTTAAAGGTCTGAGGTTTTAGGGTGTATCTGAAGCGTTCAGTCACAAACAGGGGAAAATTAATGTAAAAAGCAGGATACTCCTAAGGAAAAAATGCATGGACCAGTGAAAAGGGGCACCAGTAATGCTGTGTTTTGGTCACAATTGTTTCTTTCTCTCTGAGGTGTTAACATGTACCATCACTTCTGCGACTTCGTCAATCTTTACATTACACAGCACGTCAATAATTCCTTCAGTACTGATGTCAACATAGTCATGTGGGACACTGTAAGTCTGCTGTGCTGTTAACATGTTTGTAATGGGTTGTATTTTGTTTTCTAGAGACTCTGAATCTTTTAGTAGCCAAACTGTAGCTTTATTTTGGGCTCAGCCTTGTGGAACTGGTAAGGTTTTGGATCTTGTTACAATAGGTGCACGAGCAATAGGGAACAGATTTTCTGCAAGGAACCACATGCTGTTTTAACACTACTTCATAGCTCATCTTTTGCTCGTATATAATTATGCCTTTTTTGGTCTGACCTCAAAAATAACATGATCTGTGTTTCTAGTATGTAGCATTTGAACATTTCATACTCTGTTCTGTAGATTTTTTTTTTCTCTGAGAATGCTGAAGTAGATTTACTCAAAACTTTCCCTTCTACATTTAAAAAGAAATGCAGGCTTGCATCTTCCTAAATCAGTAATGTGGAACCTGTAATAAAGAAAACAACTAAATAAAATCCTCATATAAGTCAAAACAGGGTCTAATACTTAATTCCTTTAAATAGCTTTCTGGCAGTTACTTCTCAATCACCTCTTAAAATGCCACAATGACATATAGAACAAGTTTTAAGTTTGGGCTCTTACTGCTGAGTTGAAACCATGACTGTGTTTAAGACTAATACTAGTTTTACTGTACAGTATTTAAATTGTGTAGGAGAATGTTAAATGAAATAATGAAAAACTAGTCAATTTGTAATATGCCAGATAACGTGTATAAACAGGTCTAGAAATAACACAGTCCTTGACTATCTGCTGTCCCATGCCTGTCTTGTTCTCATAAAACACTGGATTTGCTTTCTGAGTGTTCACAATATTCATTAGAGAACTGCAAATATCCCCTGCTTGCTATTTAATGAGAAACCTCTTTGGATAAAAGAGACCCTTTTTTGTGCTTTGCTTATATTTTGAAATAGAGAAGCAAGCTCTGTAGATCTTACACAGGGACCTGTTAATCCAGCTCTGATGGCTTCCTGGAAAGCTCAGAACTCTCAGGCAGTGTTGTAAATGACTTTGAAAAGGAGGTTTTTTGTCTTATATCTCACTGTTGAATCAAAGAACTCTTTCCAATGTACCATTCCAAGTAAGTATTGACACAGTACTCTTGTTTTAAATGAGTCCTAACTGCTCTGTCTACTTGAATTCGTTCCCATGTACAACCAGGTGATGGCACCAGCTAACTGCTGATGACCCATCCATGCTGATCAAAAGATGGACCAGCTTATTTTACTATTCATTCTTTTTTTCCTTGATGTAATTAGGTTTGGCCATAGTTTCTAGCTTCTGTAGAAACAGTGCACTGTTCTTATTAAAGAGTAATGCCCTTGGATGTACATTAAACAAAGCAGAAGATGTGTAGGTAGCCCACTGGGAGTTGATCTGCAGACTGTCTCTGCAGTGCAGGAGAGCACTGGTCTTAAAGCACTTCCAGGCAGGACAAGACAGGGTTAGGAAGAAGTGCCCTCAGCTTTGAAGATCCATGCTCCACTTCTAATGTGGAAATGCAGTAGTTGTAATACAGATGGCCAGGAAGTTGTGTGGATTGTAAAATTCATTAAAACTGAGTGCCAGAGGAAGGGGAAGGAAGCACCTCTTCAGCTGGAGGAAACCTGGCATCCTTTAGATTCTCTTATGTTTCACTACATGTCTGCTCTCCCCTGTGCTCACTTGTAGTCTTATTTTCAAATTTCTTGTTGAGATGGTTTCCACAAAACTTTCCCTGCATCCTGAACCAGCTCCAGAGTTGAAAGGAAGCTTCAAGTGAGGCTCTGCAGCAGGGCTGCTGAGGTCATATTTAATTGACTTCAAAGAGCAAGAGATGGTGACTCTTAGCCCTCAAGTATGCAGGAGGTGTTACAGATCTGAAGGTGAGAGCCCCTGCTGCTAGGGAGGGGCTCTCACAGGGAGCTGATGGTTCTTAAAAGGTTCCACTGAGCATTGTTACAAAGAGGGAAGTTTTACACTGTCCTGTAGAGAAAGTTCTTGCCAGCTTGTGAAATTAGTGCAAAACAGCTTCCTGGCTGTGTCTTCCATTGTATCAGGTCATTGCCTTCAATGTGTGATCCAAGTGACCATCCTAAAACAGAGGTGAATGGGAAGCAGGCTTGTTGTGGCATTTTGCCTCAAACACAGCTGCTGCACTTGAATTCCCAGGTGGTTTTTTAGTTTCAGGAGTTGAGGTTTGTGCCTTCTACTGTCCCTGTGTTTCTGTTGCTTCACATTTAACTGGTGTTCTGTTGCCTTTGGGGAAAGTGGTAGGTACTGCTGGCTTCTAACTCAAAAGTTCTAATCCACTGCTGAAGAACTTGTCTAGATTGCTAATCTGCTTTATTAAAAATTAACTACTTGACAGGTAATTTGAGTTAAATGCCTTTGTAAAAGCAGAGTTTGGTGTTCTGTAATGTCTGTGTTCTGTGCTAGCCTGTCGTAGGTCCCGTGGTGATAATGCACATACTAACTGTGTATTAAAACTCACATACAGATCTTGCAAATCATGAACAGAAATTTTACCTGTGTTTATGTAATCAGAGCCTTGTCTTTTTCCCTTTCCTCCTAGAGCTCCTATGGCTATGGTGACCTCTTCAGTGAGACGTGGAAGGCGTTTACTGACTACGAAATAATACACTTGAAAACTTTTGACTCTAAAAGGGTATGGAATTTGATATTTTGTTTTAATTCATTGTCACGAGGTAGCAAATATGACCATTTCTCAAGCTGGCTGTGGGTAGGGGTGTCTCAGAGGAAAGCATTAACACTTCTCATGCATGTTTAATTTGTGTAATGTGAGTGTGACAAAGCTGTAACCTAATTCTGTGGCATGTCTATGCTTGATATAGATGGACCTCACTTGTGTCTTCTGAGAGGTGATATTTATGTATTGGTTTCACTTCTGCAGGACTCACTACAGCAGTTAAGGGTTTTCAAGTGGTGCTGTCTTTCTAAGTCTTTCAGTTCCTACTGAGGTGTTTCTCTTCCCCTGCAACTCTTGTATACTTGCTGCTCATCATCAACAAAAGTTTTACTGCCATCAAAAACGTACCCATTCATTCAGAGCTCATTTTAGTCTCTTAAATCCAATCTTAAAGTCTCTGCTCTCTAACTGGTTTTCTTCTCTTTAGCTCCTGTTTGTTCTGGTTTGGGGGTGGGGTTTTTTAACCTCTTCCCACACTTGCATGAGACTTGTAGCTCTTTTGCCATCAGGGTTGCCTTTATTCTATTCATTTGCACAGTGGAGGAAGTGAGGATGTTCTTGAGAGGAGGAGCAGGTAATTGCTGGCTCGTTCCAAGCAGGGATCCCGGGGATGGTGGAGGGCCAGGCAGCAGGGCAGTGCTAACTGCTTGTCATCTGCCTTGACAGGTGTGCTTTAGGGAAGCAGTCTTCTCCCTGCTGCCCCGCATGCGCTACGGCTTGTTCTACAACACACCACTGGTGAGTCCCTCCTGTCCTCCCACCCTCTTGCCTGTACCTGTCTGACTGTCAAATCTGAGCTGCTGGATCTCTCAAGCCTCCAGCTGAGCTGCTGTGAAGCATACAGCACTGAAGATCTGTGCAGCTCCAACAGAAATGGTTCTTCCTTAAGGATTAGGACTTTAAAATTGCTTTAGCTGGTTGATAGTGACTGGTTGTGTGCAATCTCCTGTGTCACAGCTCGTGCAGCCTGTATTATTCCTCTTTAATGGGTGGGCACTGTGGACTTTGTGGTATTTTTGTGGAGCACAAGAGCTTGTACACTGACAGACTTCCCCCAGGGTATTAGCTCACGCATTCAGGCTGTAGTGCTGAAGAAGGAGAGTTATATTTCTTTCTAAATGAAAGTGCCACTCGTGCAGCAGTGAATAAGTGACGTGTTTAGCACAGTGCAGGATACTAGGCTTTTGTTCCACAAGAATGGCAAAAGGCTGATCACAAAGAGAGGTTTTTCTGAGCAATATCATTTTTTGTCTTGACAATTGCTTTTTTAATTTCAGATCTCTGGCTGTCACGGTACAGGGCTATTTAGAGCATTTTCTCAGCATGTGTTACACAGATTAAATATCACACAAGAAGGACCCAAGGTATGGCAACTGAATAATAAAACTGTAGCATGGAGCTGATGGCTCTTACCAGAGAAACAGCATTAGCAGGCTGGCTGCAGTGGGGAGCAAGGGCATAGAGTGCACTTTTTGTCCTTTCCTGGGATGCTCAAGACTTTTTTTCCCCAGTAAGTCAACCTGTTCTATAAAGGCCTTCAGCAAACATTTGTGTATGTTTGTGAAAGCTGCCCTCATGTCCTGTTTCCATAGGACAGGCTTCAGAACACCCTCCTTCCAACCCTAGAACCTCTTCCTCATCTCCATTCTCTGTGCCCAAGACCTTTGTATCCTTCCTAATTGGGGAAGGTAGTTGGTGGCTGCTCTCTCTGGAACATGCTGACAAGGTGCTGTCCTTGGGCCCAGCAGAGGGGATCCCCCAGAGCAGCACAGTGAGATTGCTCTTCACCAGTCCTCACAGTTACTGCTGAGCTCAGGGCAGAGGAGGAGAGAATTGAATCTGGTGCTGGCAGTGCCTTCCTGGTACCATCTCTCTGGCCCTGGGCCTCTCTGTCCTGCACCCTGGTAGCTTCTGCAATTTGTTGCAGTGGCTGCCTTCATGGGTGTGGCAGTTCTGGGCTTCTGGAGGTGTTTGCCAGAGAGTAGCCTACATGTTCTCACCGAGGGGCAGACATTCAGTGCACTGCACAGTTATGCTGCTCCTGCTGGCACTAATGGGAGCCATGCAGTTAAGTCTCTTTATTTCACTTGGAACACTTACCCCTGCGAGTCCAATTAATTTAAAGAGATAAAAGGAGGAACTCTTATAGAAGTAAAATATTTTTTCCAAGGATCTTGTGCACAAGGCATCCTGAAAGCTGCTTTCCTGCTTTCAACTCCTGCTGTATAACGTGGAATACAAGGACTCTTTTGTACTGAATAAACCAAATCTTTCAGAAAATGTTTTATTCTTTGTTAATAGTCAAACTTCCACAAACTTTTTGAGACTTTTAATTTGTTGGAAAATAAAACGTGAATTTTGAGGTGGTTACATCATCTCTTACCTGGGGAGGGGGCATGTTTAGTTGCTCATACAATTGCCAAAAATAAACATGGAAGTGTTTGGGGTTTTTTGGTGAAGCCTGTCTCACAGCTGATACCCTGCTGGTGTGTTTTGTAGGATGGGAAGATGAGAGTCACAATACTTGCACGCAGCACGGATTACCGGAAAATATTAAACCAGAATGAGGTGTGGTCCTTTTTATTTTTAAAACACATTCATCAGGAGTTAAATTTTGCTCATTGCATTGATTTTTTTTCTCTTTTTTTCAGAGAAAGCCAAGATGTCTCTCTGCTGATAAATCTTGGACAAATTTGCTTAGTGCTAATATTAATTTCTTCTAATAGGTCTTACAGCCAGTCTCCATTTCTGTACACCAGCCACTGAACCTTGCTGCCCTTAAGTAACCAGTGGAAGACTGCAGATGGAATACTAAAAGTCTTTCCTCTTTACAGACACTACAGAGCTTCTGATAACATTAAATTAGTTTGCTTTGAGATTATCTCTTTTATTTGTAGCATCTCCAGTGTTGAGGGCTCTAATAAAAACCTTTGTAATGCTTGCAGATGAGAATGCATCAGCTATTGTGTCTGAGGAGGTGCATTCAAAAGCTAATGAATGTTCATATTGATTCACAATTTCAAATGAGGCAACTTAGTGGACTTATGGTGTAGCTTCTCTGGTGGTAAACTGATAATATCAAATGTTTTCAGACCTGTCTTCATTCTTAGCACCTGACAGAAATGACTTGGCATTGTCAGCCCCACCTTACGCAGGGAGAAACTGAGGCTTGTTTGGTGCAGTAGCTCAGCAGCAGAACAGACAGTGCAGATGGCTGGGTTTGTGCCTTCCCTGCTGGGCTGTCCACAGGGTGTGTTTTCTGGTAATGAGAGCAAGACAGGAAGAGAGAGTCTCACCTTTACTATGCTTTTGTGAAGGAGAATGCTTGGCTTTTTCTCCCCCTTCTGCTGGCTATGGATTGGAGACTCAGAAAAAGCCCATTTAGGTTAGAAGCCCAGGATCTAACATGGTTTCACTTCTTGTGTGAGTAGGAGCCTGACGTACTAAGGTATTTTTGGAAATCCTTCTAGCTACCAGTTTGCTTCTTTAGGTATTGGAATGCCTTTTGCAAATCCAACCACGTCTTGCCACTGTTCATGGCAAAACTTGTGCTCATTTGAGTGGTTTCAGACTGGGTGCTGGAGGATGTAAAAGTCACCAGTAGCCTCTGTGAGAGTGCAGGAGATCAGTGTGTCCTCCCCAGGGGCTGCTCTGCCAGGAATAACATGTGTGTGTCTTAGGTGGGGAGGCACAAAAGGAGGAGAACTGTCTCTATATGGCAGTGATAATACCTTCTGTCTCACTCCTTGTCCTTCCCTGGTGAGGAGGAGTGTGTAAAATGCCCAGGAGTGTAGGACTGAAGGACACCAAATCCTTGTCTTTTTGTTTCCCTCCTTAGCTTGTGAGTGCTCTGAAAACGGTACCGACGCTGGAGGTCAGAGTGGTAGACTACAAATACAGGTATGTAAGTTGGTGGAAGAAGCTCATGTCATCTGGTGCTGCCTGTGGCTGGTGAAAGCTGTTTGCAGGCAGAGCTACATGTGCCCCAGTGTCTGTCTAACCTTTGCAAAACCCAGAACTGGTAAGGGTGCAGGAGTGTTACTGAGGGAGTGGTGGGTGAGCTGGCTGAGCACTCCCATCCCTTGATGGTATGAAGGATTTAGGAATGAATCCCTAGTGTTGGTAGGCTCAGGTTAAACCTACTATGATGAGCAAGTTTTGAAATCACTTTCTGTTTCCTCCCCTCTCCCCACACCAGCTGTGTTCCCATCACCCTTTTGCATTTGCTAATGCTCTGCAGTTAACTGTGGGTCAACAGGGGTTTCTCTTGTATGGTGCTGGTGTCTTGTTTTATATGACCCTTAGTTTAGTAATGAGTAATAACTCATCTTATTTGCTGCTTGGGTGGCCCCTGAAGACACTACTTGAGGTCTAATAATAGAAAAGAGGGTGGATGCCCCTGTGAGGGTACCTGGGTATCTAAAGAGAATACTGTATTCAGAGCTTACAGGCAAAGGATGGGAGAGAGTGATGGTTCCAGGAGCTGAAAAAAGCCTCATCTTTCTGCAGTGCATTGTAAACCAGTTTAGGTCCCTTATACTGGGTATTTGTTTTTTTAAAGGAGGTGGTGCAATATTTTTTTCTTGAAAAGAAAATTAAAAAAAAAAAACAAAACAAAACAACAAAATTTAGGAAAAGTTTAACTTGTAAAAAAATAAATTTTTTAGAAGAAGCTCTTGTGAGCATTTTAAACTTGCATTTCTTTTCATCCCATGCTGAGTTATTGCTGGCTCCAGCATTTGTGATTCTTATTATTGTTCCTGGAAAAATAATTCTCTCTTTCAGGATTCGTTTAAGTTAATTTGGTGCTTTTTATGTGTAAATAATTGTTACTGAGGTGGCCAGACATGCCAGATAACTGTTTGTTGTGTTGCCTGCAGGGAACTTGAATTTTCAGAGCAATTGAAAATTACCCACAACTCTGATATATTCATTGGGATGCATGGAGCTGGACTTACCCATTTGCTCTTTCTGCCAGACTGGGCTGTTGTTTTTGAACTGTAAGTCTCTTTTACCACAACTTGCTAATGTCTGTTCCTGTGTGTTAATGAAGCACTTTCCCTTGCTGGTATTTGGCTATGGGTGTTTGTCTTGTGTCCTCACCTAGACTTCAGTTTTCAAATTCCTCAAGTAGCTTCCTTGCAAGCTTATCTTCATAGAATTACAGAATGGTTTGGGTGGGAAGGGACCTTTCAAGGTCATTTAGTCCAACCCCCCTGGACTGAGCAGGGACATCTGCAGCTAGAGCAGGTTGCTCAGAGCCCTCTCCAGACCTGGCATGTCAGACCACCCCTCTGGGCAACCTGGGCCAGGGTCTCATCACCCTCAGTGTAAAATATTTCTTCCTTCTATCCAGTCTGAATCTCCCTCTTTTAGTTTAAAACCATCACCCCTTGTCCTGTCACAACAGGCCCTGCTAAAAATTCTGTCCCCAGCTTTTTTCTAGGCCCCCTTTAAGTACTGAAGGGCCACAAGAAGGTCTCCCTGGGGCCTTCTCTTCTCCAGGCTGAACAACCCCAGCTCTCTCAGAGTATGGTTGTTAGTGGATGCTCCAGTTCTACAGAACTAAACAAAACTGCCACATGCTTCTCTGAAGAGGGCTGAATTCTCCATCCTGGGAAATTCTGTTCAGAGCCTCTGCTGTGGGAGGGCTGTGAAGCTGGCACTTTGCAGCATCACCTTGGCTTGAGAGCATTTTGTCTGGTCTCCAGTTAGCTTCAGAAGCTCATGCCCCTGAGCTGCTGCAGCTGGACAGGGGCAAGCCTGACATGCAGCTGTGCCTCAAACTGCCTCCTGGGCCACATCTTAAGAACAGATGGTGGCCACCTCTTAAGAACAGATGGTGGCCCTTCTTGTTTTCAGTGCAGTAGAGTTTGTCCATGGTTTCAGAGCCTTAGAAGTGGACAACAAGCATTTTGGCCTGAAGTGTGGGGGTTTTTTTCCCTCATTTCACCCTGGTAAACTCCATCACAATCTCCCAGGTAACTAGTGATAGGATGAGAGGAAATTTGGGCTAAGTTTCACTAGGGGAGGTTTAGATTGGATATTGGGAAGAATTTCTTCCCTGACAGAGTGGTGAGGCATTGAACAGGCTGCCCAGGGAGGTGGTGGAGTCCCCATCCCTGGAGGGGTTAAAAACATGTGGATGTGGCACTTGGGGACACGGTTTAGTGGCCATGGCAGTGTTGGGTTGATGGTTGTACTTTTTCTTAGGGGTCTTTTCCAACCTTAATGGGTTCTGCTCCTAGGTACAACTGTGAAGATGAACGTTGTTACCTGGACCTGGCGAGGCTGAGGGGGATCCGCTACCTCACCTGGAGGGACAGGAGCAAAGTCTTCCCTCAGGACCAGGTAACCATGCTGGGTGCTGGAGCTTCAGCCAGGAAAAGGGCAGCTCCACAACAAGCTGGCTGTGTTCTGATCCTTGAAATAGGGTTTTCACTCTTTAGACCAAATTAACTTTCCTGTTGAGAGTAAGAAATCTTTGATATCGATGGCTGAGGGGAGAAGAGAAATGAAATTAATTGGCCATTAATCCAAGCCCTCCCTGGCATTGCTGTTATGCAGTTGCTTTGACTCCTTTGCCTCAGAGCAGATCCGTGGATCAGAAATAATAAATTAAAATGGCAGATGCTCAATTTTTTTCCTGCTTTTTGAATGGAAGATGTATTTCTTTTTCCTGTCTAAAAGGCCTTATTTCATTTTTCTAGGGACACCACCCAACACTGGGAGAACATCCAAAATTTACAAACTACTCCTTTGATGTGGAAGAATTTATGTACTTGGTGCTTCTGGCTGCAAATCATGTTTCACAGCATTCCAAGTGGCCATTTAGGGTAAAACATGATGAATTCTAAGTCAGACTTCTGACTGAAATATTGTTTTCAAATAATGCTCCATAAAACATATTGTAACAACATAAAGCAAAATGCTGGTGTGAAATGTGTAAACCTCTACGAGGGAAATAACCCATAATTAACTTTTCAAACCACTTCTTAGCACCACATCTTATCTTTGTAGTCCTGCTCTTTTAATTCTGGGAGTTTTCATTATGTAAAAACCTACTTTTCAGAACTCTTTTGGGGGTTTTGTGCTGTATTTTTGCATTCCAGATTCTGAAATAGTTGTCTTTCTGCAAGGAGATGTCCATCCATTTCAGGTGACCTTTTCTGGGGTAGACACTAATCTTGTAACAATTGATTCCTG